TGCAGCAGCTCTCCAGAGAAGGGAGAGGCTGTTGCAACCAATATGGGGGGAAAAAAGCAGGAAGAAAATTGTACTGGAAAGCAAGTGCCATGCACATGAAGTGTAAATTTAGCTGAGCGTAGGGGCTCCGCTGTGGCTGTAGTAAAAGATCAGAGTAAGGCCGAGTTGATATGAAATTTTGCAGTTTAATAATGAAAATGGATTAAATGGTTTGTTCTCATCTCATGAGCTAGATGGGAGACTGGGGAGGTGCTTCAGCAGAATATGTGCAGATTGATGAAAACATGGGATCAGGCTGCCATCTCCTGAATTTTATCAAGAAATTTTGAAGGAGGCAGCTCATAGCAGGGGATAGGTATTGAGGGAGTGAATCGGAGCTGTGGTGCCCTGGTAAGGAGGGAAGGATGTATGGATGTGCATTTTCTTTAAAATGGATGCTGTTTGCTAAGCCCTTGCTACGCTCGGGATGTGTCCTGGCTCTGAGGAAGGCTGTACAGCATCCACCTTTGTGGATCTGTCCTGAGCCGTTTGTAACCTGCTGCTTCCTTTGTTCATAACACGACCTTTTCTGCTGTGGAAATGTGCATAAAATCCTTGGAAAAATGGGGGGCAAATACCAGATCTGATTATCTATGCCAGGAAAGAGAAGCTTCCTGGTAGAGTTTTGATATTAAGCAATGGCACTGCCCAAGAGCTTGAAACAGCATTCCCTGGATGTTCATTACTGAGGGTACAGCAGAGCATGGCCTGCTTTCCAGGTAAGCAGCTAATAAGGAGAAAGCCTGAGCACGAAGGCCACACAGCAGTTTCTTTTTCTCTTTTCCTGCCACCAGGTTACAAGACAGATCCATGAGCATGAGCAGGAGAACGAGTTGCGGGAACAGATGTCAGGATATAAGCGGATGCGGCGCCAGCACCAGAAGCAGCTGATCGCCCTGGAAAACAAGTTGAAGGCCGAGATGGACGAGCACCGCCTCAAGCTGCAGAAGGAGGTGGAGACACATGCCAACAACTCGTCCATTGAGCTGGAGAAGCTGGCCAAGAAGCAAGTAGCTGTGATGGAGAAAGAGGTGGGTTCGGATATAGGCTGCTTGGAGGGGTACCAGGCAAGTGAGAAGGGCAGAGCTCCGTCCCAGCCTCTGGGAAGAGGCTGTGGATGTAGCTCTTAAAACCCTTCTAGAGGATGGCGTTGCGCTGGCATGGACCAGTAACGTAATTAGGGGCAGCCAAGAAGAAAAGATTGACTTCAGGGAGGCCTCGGTTGCCTGTAGCTGTATGAAAAAGCTCATGGTGCTATAACGGCCGCCGCTGCGGTGTTCAGTCTTTCAAAAAGTCCCGTGTTAGTCCACATGTTAAATTAGTGGTATTTTTTTTTACCCTCGGGTTATTTTGCTGGAGATACAGGATGCATAAGGAAATTCATATATGGTTGGGGGCTTTGTGGTTTATTGTTTGTGGTTTATTGTTTACAAGTAGGTTTAATGCAGCTGAATACTTGCGGCTTTCTCTGGCCCAGGATGAGGGGATGCTGAAACTGCACATCTGGAGGTTGATTTTTGTGATGCATTTGGTACCTGCTCCCTCACCCTTTTTCTCTCTCCCTCTCTGTGCCTTACAGGCAAAGGCAGCTGCAGCAGATGAAAAGAAATTCCAGCAACAGATTTTGGCTCAGCAAAAGAAAGACCTGGCGACCTTTTTAGAAAGTCAGAAGAAACAATACAAGCTTTGCAAGGAAAAGATTAAAGAGGCAAGAAACTGTTATTTTCAGGGTTGAAGGGGTGTGGAATGAGCATGAACTAGACTTTCCTTTTGATAAATCTGGGCCAGCCCAGGGTTTTAAGGGACACTGTTATACTTGGAAGCAAATTTAGGTTCCCAGCAATTGCCTTTCAGGTAGTAGGAGCATCTTGCAACACTTCTAGAATAATCTATGAGGCTGCTAGAGAGGTCTGCATGGTTCTCTTTAGAGCAGGGGCTTTGAAACTGTGAGTGATGAGGTGAAATGGGAATTATGGAGAACTCCCTTCCTCCTTTCCTTACCTGCTTTTCCCCTCAAGCCTTAAGGAACCACAGCAGCCATGTAGATGTCACTTTGCTAAAAGCCTTGTGATCACTTATACAAATTAGAATAAAGAAATGAGTAATGAAGTACATAGCTAATCCATTGCAAATTGTGTTACCTAAGGACAGTGTTCCCAGCTGAGCTCCAAAATCATCTGCTGTTAAGAATGTAGAGGGGAGAAAAAGGAGAAAGGAAAGGGAGCCCTGTTACGCTTGTGATTCAGCAGGGAATTGAGCTTGTATTCAGATCCCATTGGAATAAAGAAAGCTGGAATCCAAGCTGGAAGGCTTTGTGAAACAGGTGGAGAGCTGGGAAATGAGATGAGGCTTTTGACCCCTTCTCTTTCCTGGGCCACCAGAGCCTCCCCTTCAGTGATGTTTCATTCTTTTCTTTGTAGTGCTGTTTAGATCTAGAGATGGTTCTCTATTTTCTTCTGTGTTTTTTTTTTTTTTTCCCCTCCTTTTAATAATACAGCTCTAAAAACAGCAGAGCTGAGCACAGGCAGGTGACAAGTCTGGTTCTGCTGATAGCTGCTGCTGCAGTCAGGCTTTTGGTGTCCTGCTTTTGTGAATTAAATTGCAGAGGGGTAGTCAGCCAGTGAGCAGAAGGTCCTGAGAGTCCAATGTTTCCGTGATCCTAAGGAAAGTTGTGTTTTCTTGGCTCTGCCTGCACGCAGGAAATGAATGAGGACCACAGCACACCCAAGAAAGAGAAGCAAGAAAGAATATCCAAACACAAAGAGAACCTGCAGCACACGCAGGCTGAAGAGGAGGCCCATCTTCTCAGCCAGCAGAGACTCTACTACGACAAAAACTGCCGTTCCTTCAAGAGAAGAACGATGATCAAGAGGCACGAGATGGAGCAGCAGAACATTCGGGAAGTAGGGCACTCTTCAATTCCTCTCCCAAGTGTTTAAATGCTTTAGCTTTGTGTCTATAAGATATGTTATGTGGTACTAGGTCTTCATGTTTTCGGTTGCTAATCTGAACCAAGAAAAATGTAGGGAACGTGTTTTGAGTGCTGGTATTCCATCTGGAAACGCAGTTGGTGGGTGGTGACTTTCATTAATGAGAGAAAGCGACAGAATTAGCTTCCTGTCAGAACCAAGGTGTGGGCAGCCCGCTCTGGATCCCACACGTCCACCTGAACCTGCTGCTCCTGGGGCTTCAGGGGAGGCTGCAGGGTTCCAGCTGCACCGTGGGCCCGAGTGGGTGCTGGGGACACGTGTGGGAGAGCTGTGGGACAACTGAGAGGGCGTCGGGTGAGCACGTCAACCCAGGGGCTAAAACAGCCTCACACGGGACAAATACACTGAGCAGAACAGTCCTCACCCACAGGAGTTAGGCCTTCCCCCTAAAGGGGCAGAGGGTTAAGGGTGCCAAACGAAATGCTAAAAAATTAATACCAGAATTCAGGCTCTTATGTGTCTGCATTCTGCTTGGCTGCAAGTAGTCAGATGTCGCCTTTGGGCCCTACTTAAAGCCCAGAATGGGTGGTAGTTTGTTCATTAGAAGCTATTCAACATCTTGTTTTTTTCCTTGCCTAGTAGGCTTCATATAATCAAATACTGCTTGAAGATAGAATTACTATATTCTTCTAGACTTTTACGTGATATCAAGCATTACAATATATCTGAATTCTGCATGAATTCTTTTTTTGCATAAGGACTGTCAGAGTTTTAGTGAAGACAGAGAGAAAGTGGTCAAAAAATTCTAACAATTATGTCCTTAGTCTGGTGACATGTGTTTTTTTTTCAGCAGCTTTATCATTACCTAGTATTTAACCTGCTCAGAGCTTCCTTTGGCTTTAGAGGTGCCCAGGGCTGCTCAGTTGCTTTGCAGATCACATGCAAAGATCTCAGCTTGGACACCCTGCAAATGAATGACAGGGCATGAGTGACCAAAAACTCAGATTCAGGCACCCTTGTGAGTGCGAGCAAGCTCTGGGCTAAGGATGAGAGCCCATTTCAGTTTCCTAGCATGGTATTTGAGTGTGCTTTAAGCAGGAAACCCACCTTCCTTCCTTGAGCTCCTTCATTTTGCCTCTTCAGAGACTTAATTTTCAGAATGATGCACATGTCATTGAAATTCCCTAAAGTAACTACTTAGTTTAAATCTGCTGGATCAGAAATATTAACAGAAATCAGTGAAAGAATTGGAGAGTCTCCTCTTTTCCTGGTTTGCAACATGGGGGGACGTTTCCCCAGGCTACAGAGTGAAGCATTTCCTACCTGCACTCACAAAACCAGCAGGGCACTGGGAGGGCTTCCTTGCTTTGCAAAACCTGCTGCAACTAGAGGGCCCAAAATCCCCTGGGGGGTTGATAACGTGGTTCCCCCTAATGCTGCGTGTTGGAGCTGAGCCCCTTTGCTTTGACCACCTTAACTCGTGTCGAGGGGATGCTGGAGCTCCCAGCACCGGAGCAGCAGGGGCTATGGGGTGAACTGGAACAGGCAGAAATGAATCCCCCCTGGTTTGGGCCCTCAGCGGAGGTGCTGCCGGGCCGGGTATGATCAAACCTGCTGGTGTGAGTGGATGAGCGACTGAGACACCCAGCTGTGCCCCGCCACCCAGCTCCTCTCTTGTGCTTTGCTGTCGCCTTGTGCAGGAGCTGAACAAGAAGCGGACGCAGAAGGAGATGGAGCACGCCATGCTGATCCGGCACGACGAGTCCACGCGCGAGCTGGAGTACCGGCAGCTGCACACGCTGCAGAAGCTGCGCATGGACCTCATCCGGCTGCAGCACCAGACCGAGCTCGAGAACCAGCTGGAGTACAACAAGCGGCGAGAGCGGGAGCTGCACAGGAAGCATTTCATGGAGCTCCGGCAGCAACCAAAGAACCTCAAGGTGCTGGCAGCTTTCCCTGCCTCTGGGCAGCGCCTGGGCCCCCTTCTCCAGCACCTCCGTGTGCTTTCCCGTGCGGCCTTTCCCCTTCCGCAGATCAGACGCGCATCAGACTGTTACAGCAACGAGCTTGCTGAGTATCTTTAAGTGCCACGGTAACTTGGCCTGCTGGGTGGAAATAGACTAATATTTAGCAAACTGTGACAGAATTGGCTTTTGGGGAGCTCTGCTTTCTTCAGGGTGCAGCTCGTGGCAGCCTGTCAGTATGGAAAGGGGCTGGGTGATGGAGCAAACGTGGGTGTGCTGAGCCCTGTGCATCATCCTCCCAGTTCAGCTACTGGTTAATTAAAGCCTGTGGGCTGCTCTTGGAGACCTGTGTTCCTCCTCTGGAAAGCCACAGGAGCACGCTCCTTTTTTTTGCTGCTTTGCACTCGTAACAGTTCTCAGATTCGCAGTCTCCACACAGTGTATGGGGGGGCATTTGTGGAGCAGTAAAAGGGGGGGTTTTGGAAAGCAAGAGCTTTCTGGAAGGGGAGCAGCAGGAAGGAGTGGGGGAAGATGGAAATGCCTTGGGGGATGAGTTTTAGATGGAAATGCCCAGGGCCCCCCAAGGCTGTGGGCACATATGGAGTGGCAGCGCCCGGGCAGGGGGCAGGACATAGTGCAGAGCTTGGGAAAGTCGCTTCTCCCCACTGATTCTGGCCCTTCCCAAAGCTCTTCGCGCCCTTCACATGGCTCCTTCCTCGGCAGGCTATGGAAATGCAGATCAAAAAGCAGTTCCAGGACACATGCAAAGTGCAAACAAAGCAGTACAAAGCACTGAAGAATCACCAGCTGGAAGTAACTCCAAAGAGTGAGCACAAGACGATTTTGAAGAGTCTGAAGGATGAGCAGACGAGGAAGCTCGCCATCCTCGCGGAGCAGTACGAGCAGAGCATCAATGAGATGATGGCCTCGCAAGCGGTGAGCGTGGCGCCCGGGGCTGTCCCTGCGTGGCACGTGCAGGAGCTGCCGCGCTCGGGCCGCCATCCGCGTAGCCCGTCGGCTCTTCCCGCGGGCTGCTGGCCGTGCAGTGGTGTTTGGAGCATTTTAAATTGGTGCCTTAGACACCACTTTCATTGTTTGTAACCAGCATGTGCTAAAACAGACACCCTCTCCCTCGCACACTGAGGTTTTAGATCAGGATCTTGGGTGAGACTCCTGCCTCTGGGTGTGAGTGGTTTTTAGCAGGTGTTTGTAAAACCCTTCCTTGTTATCCTGCAGCAAGCACAAAGGCTGCGATTTGGGCCATGTGGAAATGCAGCCCCCCTGGTTTGGGGAAGAAAAGAGCCGCGTGTTGCCGGCATCAGAGCGGTTACTGGTGGAGGCTTAAATGTTTGTTTGTTTGTTTTCCCCACTGGGTGATCTCACAGCTACGGCTGGATGAGGCCCAAGAAGCAGAATGCCAAGCCCTGAGACTGCAACTCCAGCAAGAGATGGAGCTGCTCAACGCCTATCAGAGCAAAATTAAGATGCAGACAGAAGCACAGCACGAAAGGGAACTCCAGAAGCTGGAGCAACGGGTGTCACTGCGCAGGGCGCATCTTGAGCAGAAGGTACGTTTGGGGCGGGCTGCGGGGCAGTACGTGGCCGTGGGCCTCAGTCTCGCCTCACGCGCAGCGGTTTCCAGATCCTGCTTTGGATCCCTGGAGGAATCGGGAAGCGGAATCCATGGGTGGGTGTTCTGGGAGGAGCTGGCGAGGCCATGGGGGCAGCTCGGCGTTTTCGGTAACCCCGCTGCGGCGCTGCTCGCTCTGCTGCTTTCAGATCGAGGAGGAGCTCGCGGCCCTGCAGAAGGAGCGCAGCGAGAGGATCAAGTTCCTGTTGGAGAGGCAGGAGCGAGAGATCGAAACCTTTGACATGGAGAGTATGCGCATGGGCTTTGGGAATTTGGTCACGTTAGAATATCCCAAGGAGGACTGTAGATGAGATTGAATTTCTTTGCCATTAAAAAAAAAACAAAATAACACAACACCAACAAAAGCAAAGTAATGGTATAAAACCTGCAAAAGCAACATTCCCCATGTTACCGGGCGAGCTCTCTCTCTTTCTGTCTCTCTGACTGACATCGTGTCGGACTAGTGCCTGTATATTCTTATTCCATCAGGGGCCCCCTTTCCCCCCTGTGTCGAGTCCCAGTGGTGGGCAGCTCCTGGCGGTCTTTTTCATAGTATGTCACAGTATTGATGTCTCTGTGCAATGACTAAAAAAATGTTTCAGTGAAAACTTTGGAGACAGTTTTAATGGAAAAAAAAAACAAAAACAAAAAAAAAGTGGATGTATGTTGCTTTTGAGCAATCACTCATTTTTCCACCAATCAATGGAAGTACAAGCAAAAAAATAATCAGATGCTATATACAAACCCAGGGGGAGAGAGACTAAATCCGCAGCCTTACCTTAACTAGCTGCTGCATAATTTTATTTTATTTTTATTTTTTTGGTATTTATTCATCAGGAATAATTAAATAATAAAAATAAAAATTTTATTAAAGATTGAAAAATTTGATACATTTTACAGAAAAAACTTAATCGTGATGTACATATCAGTGGTGACATATTATTACTTTTTTGGGGGTGGGGAGGGACGGGGCAAAGATCTGGTGATTTTTAGAAGAACCATGCCAGGCGAGGCGGGGATTAGACCTCGCTCTTTGGCATATTCTTGATTGTATCATAATCATTTTCTGCTGTCGCAGAGAATGTGAATACACTTAAATGAGCCCACAGGATCCCAGTAGCACAAATTGGGCTTTGTCAAATCGTGTATTTTGTGTATAGAAGGAATTTAAGGAGAGCTTTTACTTATTTTCATATTGTATTTTAACTGTTTCTCTGATCAAAAATTTTTTTACTTCTTTCCCCCCTTCCCTCCTGGTCCCAGCCCTCCCCCCACTTTCCGGTTCAGTATTTGGAGTTCAACACTGTCTATCGGATCATCCCCCTCCCTTTCTTTTCTTTATTTTTTTTCTTTTTTTTCTTTTTTTCTTTTTTTGTTCCTCCCCCAAGTCCACCCCCAACCCCATGATCTTGGTCATAAATATTGCATTATTCACACTTTCAAACTGTGTATTTTCTTACAATAAAAAGATTAAAAAAAAAAGGCTTTACTTCTTTTGCATGCACTTTAAAAAAAAAAGAAAAAACAACAAAAACATTTTTCAGGTTCAAAGGAAGAGCATGAATAACTGTCAGAGCTTTTAATTATATTTGTAAATAAAAGTGTTCCTCACACTGCCTCGCTGTCTCATTGGGGCCTGTCCCCCAGGTTTTGCTGGGACTTTCTGGGCTGTTTTGCTGCTGGATTGGTGCTTTTCTGCCCTCCTTCTTCCTGCTGGGAAGTGTCCTCCAAGGGTGCTGGTTTTGTCAGCACCCCAGGAAGGGCAGCTGGGGTGAGAGGATCTGCTACCTGCCCAGCCTGCTTCCCTGCAGCTCCCAGAAACAGGATAGAGCTGGGACCAAGTGCCAGGAGGGTTTTCAGGGGTAAGTTACCCTGTGATAAATGAGCTTGTGCCTTCAAAACCAGCCTGGAAAAAAGCCTGTCTTAATTTTTAAAGACATGGTGAATTTCTGCTCAGCTTAGGCCAGTGTTTAACAGCCTTGTGTTTCCTGCAAGCCCTGCCCTGCTCCTTCCTTGGAACTAGCAGGAGTTTCTGCAGCCTCTAGCCCCCACTTTGAGCATGTTGCAGGCTTTAATCCCCCAGCTGCTTGCAGCAGCCCCCATAAGGCTGCATAGATGGCACCTGTGTGTGTGCACACACGTGTTCTGGTAAAAGGGGTTTTTCTGAAAGACACTTCCAGAGACAAGACCGAGAGGTTTAATGTTTGCCTGGTGCCATCCCCTGCCCTTTGATGCAAATTAAGCTCAAACACACATGTATTTTTCTTGATGCATCTTTGTCCTTTCAAGCCACATTGCCAGCACTTGGGGCTCTTTGAGGATGGTTCCAGTTCTCTCCTCCATTACACCAGGAGGAAGAATGGGAGTGGGTTGCTCCCAGCTGCTCCCCACAAGAAGACAACCACAGCCTCCACCTGGGCAAGTTTTTAATGCACTGTGAGTAACCAGGACAGCAGTAACACCTTACAACAAAATACAAACAAAATATTCTGTCAACTTTTGAGAGCTTACACAGATCAGAACACATCTCTTTAAACCAGCTTCCTTGCTTAATGCAACCAATTATTCCAGCATTATTTTAGTGGAAATAATGAAGAGAAAAGCAAAGCACAATACAAAAAAAGCAGCTTCCCCAAGGCCACCATGTCTCCCACCTCCCAAAAGATGAGACAAGCCATACAGCACCAACCCAGCACCCACACCCAGGCTGCACAATACTGATAATGTGGCCCAGACACTTCAAAATAACTGTGATCCCCAAAGGCTCCAATTTTCCTCAAACTCAAGTCAGCTGGGAAGGGGTGGCCACTAAAGGGGCAGCTTTTCAGCAGCTTGTTCCTGTCAGCTCTGGCCTCTAACTACAGGTGTCAGCTGAAGCACAGCACAAGTCCAGGCCACAGTCACAGGCAAGTGGATTTAAATCATGCACAGCGACAGGGCTGTGGTTCAGGTTACGGTTGTAGTGGTCAATTTGGGAGCAGCTGGTACAAGTCACTAATCAAAATTAAAGAAGTACTTTGACCAAACCCCTCCCCAGGGGAGCAGGGACATCACACAGTGCTCACATAGCGGGGAAAGAATAGGGGATCCTGCAGCCTCCCCTCTCTCTACTTGCCAGAGAGCTGCTCATAGAGCTTTGGCACGTAGTCATCCCACTCGGCCTGGTAGCAAGTGCCGGCCACCGGCGCCCCCAGGCCGTACTTGCTGCGGAACGCGGCCACCTTGAACTTCCCGCGCTTGTCGCCAGAGCGATTCGACAGGATGGGCTCGTCACACGTCAGCTGCTTGGGCTGCTCGTACACCAGCCACACGTAGCGGTGCAGCCCTGCAGGGACAAGAGCGGGACCAAGCGTCGCTCCTCAGCGAGGTATCGGGCCCAGTCCCCCCGCCCCGCAACGTGTGGGTCTGCCAGGATCACGTATTCCAGGGGTTAATGCTAGTTGTGAAGTGGCTGCACCTACCTGGGAAGCACTAGCAGCTGCCACCATCGCTCTCCGGGGTAAGATGGCTAAGGGTGATTTAGCTAAAGGAGCTTACAGAAGATGGACTAGATATGTTTGATTTGTGTCACGGCCAGAACCAGGGCTCCCCGCCTCCCAGGCGGCACTGCCAGACACGTGCGGGCAGCAAGTGGTGCCCGTGAGCAGGGGGCCGTGGGGACGGCTGTGACACACATCAGTGCTGGCCTTGGCCCCACGCAGCTGCAGGCAGCCCAGGGCCAGCCCGTTCTGCAGAGCCACACGGGCAGTTTATACCCAGAGCTGCTTTCTGCAGGGCTGCCCACCCTGCCCCAGTCGCTGCGGTTGATCATTCGCAGCATGGACACGCTCAGGGTACAGGAGCCGCAGCTCCCAGGCACTGACCTGTTCCTTTGGGAGGTCCGGAGCCCACGTAATCAGACAGCACTTTCCCACTCCCCACGTCGTTGCCCTTCATGTTGGTCACCAAGAAGTGATGCCATTCCCTGAAAGCGAAGAGCAGCACAGGGTGAGACTGCACCATGTCCCCTCTTTGCTAGGGCACCTCTGCGCTCTCAACTGCTGCTTCTCCACAAGCCTATCAGTGCAGAACTGAAGCTGTAACTACCCTTAGCTTGCTGCTTTGCCAAACACAGTGAGCAGCAGCTCACACAGGAGGCATTGCCTTCCCTGCAAGTTCTGCGTCAGTATTTAGAGCCACCACGACCAGCTCTGTCATCCTACTTGGCAGCTTGGAAAAGCAAGAATCCAGAGGCTGGCTCCAAAGAACAGGCACTGGGCGCATTTCCAAGGCTGTCTGAGCAAGGTGAACTGTTTAAGTCCCCACTTCCAGCACAGACAGGTTCAGCTCCACCACACACACACATTAGAGGAGCTGCAGGGCTGCTGACTGCAGTGGCCAATAGTGGTGGCAAAAGCAGACCCCAGCGCCCAGCCCGGCCTCAAGGAGAGCTGCGGGACCCGCACACTCACCCCGAGCTGTGCAGCCAAGCAGAGCAGCTTCCCCACTGCCTGCAGCCCCTTCTGCAGGCGCAGGGAGGCCGCGCTTCCCCAGGCGAGCAGCTCCCCCCCTTACCTGAACTTGGGGTCCTTCCTACTGGGGGCATCGGGATCCGTGAGCACCAGCGTGTAGAGCTTC